TTAAAAAGTGGCAGGGAGGTGGGGAGGGAGGGGAAGAAAAATTTAAAACTCAAAAGCTTATGGAAGTGACTGTTGATAAATCAAAATAAATTTTTTTAAGAAAAAAGTGGCAAATTAAATTATCTGTATCAACAATAAAAAAGGAGAATTTACAAGTTAATTAGAATTAAAGGATATTATTTAAAACTATTTTAGTCCAACTACATGTCCATAAAATTGATAATGTAAGAGAAATACTTACAAAATTATAAAATAACTAAATTAATAGAAATAGAATTTAAACAACAAAAATCTCAGAGGAAGAAACTGAACATGCCATAAGTGAATTCTGAAGGAAAAAAAATCCCAGAACCAGATAGATTAACAAGTAAATTCTATTAAAACATTCAAACAACAATTAATTCTATGACAGAACCTTTGCAAAAACAGCAAAAGAATGAATCCACCAACTTCCTTCTTTAACACAGATTTCTTTTTGATACATAAATCAGAGAGAATCAAAACCAAAAAAGAAAACTGTAACTCAATGTCCACAATGAACACTGATGAAAAAAAGTTAACTAAAATATTAGCAAAGATATTAAAACATATCACCATATTAGATTTATAACAGAAACATAGGGTTTGTTTTAATATTATAAAAATGATAAAATTACCCATATTAGTATCAAAATCATATGACTTTAGCAAATGATGAAGAAAAAGCTTTTGAAAAATACATCTATTTCTGTTAAAAGTACTAAAAAATATAGGAATAGAATATACCTTAAAATAATAAAAATATAAAAACCCAAAAATTATCATTATGTCTAACAGAGATAAATTAGAACCCTTTCCAATAAAATAAGAGGCAAAACAAAGATGTTCACTGTCACCTCTTCTATTTGACATAGTATTAGAAATGCTGATACTAGTAATAAGAGAAGAAAAAGAAAGTGAGGGAATAAACATAGCTAGTTCTTCCTCATTCTAGCCTACTAGCAAATTACTCCTTCGTTCCTATCAACTCCTCCCTCTAGCTTTATTACTGATGCTCTTCTCATATTACCATTAGTAAGCAGTCTGTTCACAAAAGCACATGCACTTTATACACAGGACCAAATTCTAACAAGTTTACCTATCTAGTTTTCTAAATACACCAAACTGGAAATAGAAAGCAGAAACAAGAAAAGACGCAAGCACACTAAAAGAAGCAAAAGGTCAGGCTGTGACAATTAAGAGGAGGAAAAAAAACCCAAAAAAGTACAAAAGCCTGATAAATAACAAGTTAATACAGAGTAGAGACGTGCAGGGATTAAAATATAAATGGGAAATATTTAACAAAATCAACAAAAATACAATAGAACACAAACAACGTTAATATATGGTTTTTCTAAGTCAATATGCTACATCCAGGGACCCTTACATACAGTTTAGTGATCTTGTTTCTACTTGAGTTTAAGGATCACAAAAGATAAGATGGACATTTTCAATAATTAAAAAATTAAATTTTCCACAAATATATTCAACATAATAAAAATTAGAGTAGAAATAACTAAAAATAAATCTCTTTAATAACTGTCTCTGATAAAAGTCTCATTTTCAAGATATATAAGGAATTGATTAAAAAATTTAAGACTAAGAGCCATTCCCCAACTGATAAATGGTCAAAAGATATGAACAGGCAATTTTCTTAAGAAGAAACCAAAGCTATCAATAATGATATTGCTAAATGCTACAAATCACTAGTTACTGGAGAAATGCAAATTAAAGCAACGTTCCACTTTGTGCCTCCTCCAATAACAGCAAAGATGACAAAATTAGAAAATAACAAATATTCTAAGGCTGCAGGAATAGGTACACTAGCACAACATGAAATGGTCTACGCCATTCCATAAAGTAATTTGAAACTATGCTCAGGAAATTATCAGAGTATATCCTTTGGCCTAGCTTTAGGTCTACGACTCAAAGAAATCAAAGAAAAAGGGAAATAATCTACATACTAAAAAGTTCCTTTCTTGGTAGATGACAATTGGAGATTCAGGAGCTGTCCTCCTTATTGGGCAATACTTAAATAAATGGTGGTCCATGAATGTAATAGAATATTGCTGTGCCAGAAGAGAGGGTAAAATTGACAATTTCAGAGGAAAATTGGAAAACTTTCATCAATGGAGCAAAGTGTGCAGAACTAGAAAGACAATTTATATAAAGATAACATTATACAGAAAAATGATTCTGAAAGATTTCAGAATTCTGATTAACAAAACAATAAATCATGAGTCCAAAAGAATGAAGATTAAACATGCCACCCACCTCCTAACAGAGATGTGATGAACTTAAAGAAACAAAACACACAATTCATATAAGACACACAATTTCAGACACAGATAATGTGGAAGTTTTGTAATGAGGAATTCATTTTTTTGTTGAGGTTTTGTTTTTTTACATTTTGTTTGGTGTTTGATCAGTGAATGGGGTGGTGTAGTGAGAAGCAGGCACAAATTTTTTAAAAAACTTATTAACTCCATAAATTCCAGACTTAAAGAAAATATATAAATCCAATTGAAATCTAGGACCATTTAGGGAAGGCAAAAATATCTCAAATGCTCTGATAGAGATGACTGATTGCTACAGTACAGAACAATAACTAATGTTTATAAGGATGATCCTGAGTCATAAAGGTTGAATTCTGTCCAGCATTTTCTATTTTAAAATACAAGAAAACATATATTACATTTAAGATTTCTATTGAAATTTTTTTAAAAAGTTGGCACTTAAAGTGTCAGTTATCTGAAAAATTAATTTGTGATAATTCTACCAGACATTAGATAAATGAGGTGTTACCATATCTGCTTGATATGGCTAGAAAACAAAGAAGTTTTTAGTTTTCAAACATTTTAGAATTCCACTCGTAGAGGAAACGGATCTTAGTTATTTTATGTAGAACAGAATTGCCTACAGAGAACGTATAGAGGCATATAAAAAACTATGTACTTTGTGTTTTTTTTTCTACTGTATTTCACAGGCTTACTGCAGAATTAACATTTACATGTCACTAAAAGTATGAAGCTCTATAGAAATGCTAATTATTATTTCAATGGGGAAAGAAGAGTAAAGGGAGGGAATAGGATAGTTAAAGGAAAAGAACAGAAATGGATACATATTTACAAAAGCATAAGTCGCCTAGATTAACAGAAGAGGAAACAGAATACTTAAATAACCCTATCTTACAGAAAGAAATTGAACAAGTCATGAATGAAAATCCCAGAGAAAAAAAATCCCTAGGACTACATGGATTTACAACTGAATTCTACCAAAGATTAAAAAAAAAAATTTGATTCCAATCCTATATAAACTATTTGAAAAAAAGAGGTAAAGAAGGAATCCTACCAAATGCTTCCTATTGCATAAATATGGTTTTGACACCTAAAACTGAGGAAGCAGAAACAGAGAAAGAAAACTATGGACCAATTTCCGGAATGAGTATCAATGAAAAAAATTTTAAATAAAATTTAAGTAGTAATTTAAATAAAAATGCTAGTACCAAGGAGACTACAGTATATCACAACAGTCATATACTAGGACCAGGTGGGATTTATACCAGGAATGCAGGGCTGGTTTAAATTAGGAAAACTATAAACATAGTTGACTATATCAATAACAAAAACAACAAATCATATGATTATATCAAGAGATGCAGAAAAATCCTTTGACAAAATAAAATACCCACTCCTATTATAAACACTAAAAAACACAGAACTCAACGGGTCCTTTCTTAAAATGGCAAGTCATATCTACCTAAAACAAAGAACAATATTATCTGTACTGGGGATAAACTAGAAGTCTTCCCAATAAGATCAGGAGTGAAGTAAGGATGCCCATTATCACCATTATTATTCAATGTTGTACTAGAAATGCTAGCTATAGCAATAAGATATGAAAAGGAAATTGAAGGGTAAGAACAGGCAACAAGGAAACAAAACTATCACTCTTTACAGATGATATGAAGGTATACTCAGAACACCCCAGAGAATCAACTAAAAAACTAGCTGAAACAACAACTTTAGAAAAGTTGTAGGATATAAAATAAACCCACATAAATTATGAACATTTCTATATGTTCCCAACAAAACCCAGCAGGAAGAGGTAAAAAGTAAAATACGATTTAAAATAACTGCAGACAGTATAAAATACTTGGAAGTCTACCTGCCAAAATATATGCAAAAACTATATGAACACAATTTCAAAACTCTTTTCACAAAAATAAAGACATCTCTAAACAACTGAAGAAATATTAACTGCTCATAGGCAGGCCAAGCCAATATAATCAAAATGACAATTCCACCTAAATTAATTTACTTATTTAGTGCTATACCAAACTACCAAAGAATTATTTTCTAAAGCTAGAAAAAATAAGAACAAAATTCATCTAAAAGAACAACAGGTCAAGAATACCAAGGGAATCAATGAAAAACAACAACAACCAAAAACGTAGGAATGTGGCCTAGCAGTATCAGACGTCAAACTATATTTCATAAAGTAGTAATCATGAAGACAATCTGGTGACTGGCTAAGAAAAACAGTGGTAGATCAGTGGAACAGATTAGATAGACAACATACCACATAAATGACAATAATCTAATTTTTGATAAACCCAAAGATGAAAGCTTTTTGGGCAAAGATTCACTATTCATAGAAAACTGCAGAAGTACTCAGGCAGAAATTAACCTTAGACCAACAGTTTACACCACATATCAAGATAGTGTCAAAACGGGTACATCCTCTCTTTATTTTTCTTGGCTAGTGCCTTTTTTTTGGGTAGGGGCAGAAGAACATGGCTAATATGGAAATGCTTTATATGACTTCATATGTAAAAGGGATATTATGTCATTTGCCTTCTCAATAGGTTACAGGAGGGCCTCAAGGGTGGGGAAAAAAATTTCTAAATCAAAACAAAAAAATGAACACAAATTTTTTTTTTAATTTTTATTTAAAAAAGAAAAGAATAAGCAGTATCTCACCTTTGCGCTATAGTTCTTAGTGCTAGATTGGCATGAGTTTTGTTGCCTCAATGGTGATGGTTGCTCCCCTTCTTCTAGTTTCCGTTCATATACTCGAACTCTAGCACAAGTCATCATGCTCTCAAAGTACAAGTATACAGGATCTTTGTCTTCTTCTCGAATCTGTAAGTTACATAAAAGAGAATTCCATCATATATACTGTGATACTGCAATCGAGGTGCTTTGCAAACTCCAGATCACAAGTTAAAAATGACCAAGACGAATAAAATTCAGAATTTAAAATATGAATGTCTGCTGTCAGTACTGAATGTTTCAGAGCAAGTTAAGACTAAATACTACAAGTAACTAACATTAAAAGCATAAGCAAAGCTTCAGGACAGCTAACAGCACTTAGACAATGTCAGGGATAATAATCATAATACCATCACCTTATGTTTTTATATAAAGTATTTTCTAATTCTTTTTAAAAGTGACATCTATATGGCTTTTTTAAATTTGACTCTCACAATAACTGTGTAAGATAGATAGGGTAAGCAATACAATTTACTCTGCTAGCAAGTACAAAAGATGAGACTTTAATCCAAGCCTCCTGACTCCAAGGTCAATACTCTTTTCACTATACCATGAATAATAAATACTCTTTCACAGTATCTTTACCACTATACCATTTTCATGATACTTGCCTCTTGAACAGGTATCACATCAGAGTGGAAGATTTATCCTCAGGGTAAAGAATTTGTTCTTTGCCAAGACATACAATTCAGGCACTATCAGCTGTCTGATTACAATGTTCCTCATTATTTTCTAATCTAGAACTTAATGTTTCTAACTATGAAATGTTTCACAAAGGTCTCTAACAGAAAAATGTCCTTGGTACCAATACAGATTTCACATTATAGCATGGGCCATTAATACGGAATTTGAGGTAGTGAGGGAAGTAGGAGCATGGTGCAAGGCTCCTTTTTGCTACATTGCATCAAAATCTTTATCAAACATCTACCTTAGGACTTTGCACATAACAGAAGCACAACAAATGAACTGTGGAATGAATGAACCTCAGTAATGAAAAACAAAAGGTATATCCTAGTCAAAAAAAGTCCAAAAGAACAGACTTCTGAAAATACTACAAACTAAGGTATGATAAAATTAAATGATTATTATGTATAAGGATATCAAAAAGAGACTACAACTTTTAGTTTAAGCAGTTCTATCTGTAGAAAGTGAAGTCACAATATATCACATCTCTATCCCTTTGCTGACCTTTGAACTCCAATTTGTAAATGAAAAAACAACATGTCAAATAAAAGGAACAAGAAATGATTTATAGAGAATTTAAAAATCTGATAAAAAATGCACTATTTTTACATATGAAAGGGAAAAGGGTCCTGTCTTTAAAAGGGAAGCCCCAGGCTTACCACAGGGTTGGGTTTGGGAGTATACACACGCACTGGTTTAACTCCATTGGTAAGTTTGTTCTTGCTGCTGGTAGGCAAACTCTCTGGATGAGGCAGAACTGTTGGTTTCAGGGGCTCAACAACAGAAGGTGTTGGAATATAAACTGGCTCTGGATCTACCTCGCCTTCTACTTTCACCCATAAGGGATAATGACGAATGGGCTGTTCTGGTTCCGTATCACAGATAGCTAAAGAAAGAAAGAAGACAAAAACCATGGTTGACTTTAACAAGTTCAGCTCTAAGGAGCAGCTAGGTGCTGCAGTGCATAGAGCACTGGCCCTGGAGTCAGGAGGACCTGAGTTCAATTCCGGCCTCAGACACATAACACTCACTAGCTGTGTGACCCTGGGCCAGTCACTTAATCCCAATTACCCCCCCTCCCCACACACAAACTCTCTCTCTAAATAACATTCCTCAAAACACTGCCAGGATAATAAAAATAAGACACCCATAGAAAAAGGGCCAGGTTTATGATTCAAACTCTCATGAAACTTTGGAAAAATAAACTGTCCCCAATAGAAGGTCTTCAATTACTTCCTTATCATGCTTTTTGATTCACCAAAGGTCACAAGGCAAAATTGTCCTACTTCATTGGTGGCTGGGTGTGTGTGTGTGTGTGTGTGGCAAGTATAACAGAATAAAAGAAAAATTTCATTAGCATGAAATACTAAATGTGGAGAAAATCTTTTCAGAATTTAATCAATTAACAAATTTACTTATTACAAAGTTAGGTACTCTGTAAGCATGTCATGCATACTAAAAATGTGGGAGAGTTTATAGCCCCACATATTCTATTTTACATTACACAGTAAACAGTTAATACATACCTGTTGATTGAAGATTTAAGAATAAAAAGATGAATAACTAACAATATTATTTGTTCTTCTGTTTTCCTATCAAGACCCAACTCAAATCCATCCACTCAAACAACTTTTTCTTCCCTATGTACTTTAGTCCAAGGTATTCTTTCTCATCTCTGAATTCCTGCATCATATATTGTCAGTACCACATTTGGTACATCCTTTACTGCTTTACAATGTTACTTTTGTAAAACCTTCCCAGTGGGACAAAGTTCCTGGATTGCTAAGATCAAGTCTAATTCTTTCAAACAGCTATCTAATAAGCACTTACTTATATTCGCAACATTGTACTAAATGAAAACATCAAAAGCCTAAACATAGTTACTTACAATGTAATTCACTCATGAAAAGTATAGAAAACAATAAACATTTAAGTGCCAAATTATATCATAAGACTATTTAACTGTGTGGCTAGTATTAGAGTTCAGAGGAAACAGAGAGAGATCAACGTTGGAAGGAAAAGTTGCAAAAGGATTCCTGGAAATCGGATTTGAACCAGGTCTCAAAGAATATATAGTATTTGGATAGACAAAAATGTTGGTATTCAAGAAGAGACAAACAATGAATGAAAGCATAGAAAGAACGAACACAGCATATTCTGGGACAGGGTGATGCCTGACCAAACTAAAGGTGAAGAGTCAAAAATGGGGAGAAGTGGTGAATATGAATGAAAAAACATCAAAAAGACACAGAAGCTTAGAGCAAACAGAGTAAGTAAGCATAGGCAGTATTAAAGATTATGGGGTCCTTCAAAGATTAGTTTGGCAGGTGAAAAATGAATGAAAGAGAGATATGATTAAGCATGACTAATCAGGGATATCCTGTAACAATCCAAGTAGGACATGATAAAGATCTAGACTAGGCTACTGGAAGTAACAGTGCAAAAGGCAAGGATATCATATATATTTCACAAGAAAGATTAAGACAGCCTTGAGAAAGGATAATAAAGGGGGAAAGTAAGTCAAAGATGACTCCAAAATTTTAAACCAGACAATGTTCAATGGTTTAGAGAACATCAGAGACATCTTAAATCATCTAGTCCAAGCCTTTTCATTTCACAGACAAGGAAATTGAGGCCCTGAAGACTGTCCTTTAGAGAAGTTGACAAAAAATGATTTGAAGAAGTAAATGAAAACTCTGATTAAGGCAACAAGCAATCATAACTCCATTACACTGGCAATGAAGCATGCTTCTCACATCTCAGGAGACAGTTAACAGACTAGAGATACAAAATGAGACATATTTTCAGATACAACCAATGTGTGAGTTTGACTATTTTGCTACAAAGGGAAGGCTTTTCTTTTTTTTTTTGCGGGGGGGGTGGGAGAGTTGTAGGGGAATGATAGTGATTATAAGAAAGGAGAATTAATAAAACACTTTTAAAAATACACAGTAGAACAGAGTTCAGATGGGAAAACACACAAGTAGGGTAGTGTTATTATAGCGGTACATTTCATATGTGCAGTAAAAAAAAACCCTGTACATAACAGATCAACAAATTCTTATACAATGCTCATATTCTGTTTTTTTGTATGTGGATGTGTTCATTTTTATTAATGTCTGTCAAGTTCATAATTTTAAAAAGATGCTCAGTTTAGGATATAAAAAAACATTTAAGTGGAAATGTCCAGTAAATAGCTGAAAATAGAAAAATGAGTAATGTAGATTTAGACATTTGCACATAAGTGGCTGTCAACATTCTCTTAGCCATATAATTTAACCCTTCTCCCACCCTTCAAAGGATAAGCTGTTGTCTTCTCATACAGCTTCCTTGCAGTCAAGCTTGTTCTTTATAACTTTAAAACATTCATTTTTTATTGTATTGCAGGTGTTGTTCCTTCCATTTACATTGTTATAATCATTGTGTATATTATCTTCTTGGCTACTACACTTTGCATCAGTTTATGTAAGTCTCTCCATACTTCTCTGTATTCATCATAGTAATTGTGTCTGATAGCATAATGATATTCCATTACATTCATTACCAACATCTAGCCATTCCCCAACGTACAGGGAATTCAGTTCTGTTTCCTTTGCTACCACAAAAAATGCTGCCATGTTTTTTGGCGTATATGGGGCCTTTCTTTTTGATCAATGACCTTGAAGTATATAGCCAGCAGTGGAATCTCTAGGTCAAAGGCTATGGACATTGTAGCCACCTTACTCTCATAATTCCAAACTGCTTTCCAAATGGTTGTAAAAGCTCCATCAACAACACACTGGCATCCCTGTCTGTCCACATCACACAACTATAAACTTTTCACAGATATGGCTAGAAGTTGTATTCTTATCCAAAACATATAAATACTTCCAAAAGAGAAAATGGTTAATTTTGATTGTATGAAATTGGAAGACCTGTATAAATCAAAATCACCTATTTTCTCTTTTGGAAGTATTTCCATACTTTGGATAAGAATGGAACTTTTAACTATAGCTATGAAAGGTATATAATTTATTTCTCTTAATTTTTGTATGGTATCATCTTTTACCATTCAGATCACATATCCTTTTTTAACTAACTGTGGAATAAAGTATAAAATGCTATCCTAAGCCTAATGTCTGCCAGAATACATAAAAGTTTTCTCAGAAATTCTAACAAAAAAGTTTTTCCCTCTGTCACGTACGTTTTCTAGCTTATTAAATACTGGGTTGAATTCCAGTATTTCTGAATCTCTCCTCTAGTTATACGTTTTTTACTTTTTTTTTTTAAAGGCAATTGGGGTTAAGTGACTTGCCCAAGGTCACACAGCTACTAAATGTCAAGTGTTTGGTCTGAGGCTGGATTTGAACTCAGGTCCTCCTAATTTCAGGGCCAGTGCTCTCTATCCACTGCACCACCTAGCTACTCCTAGTTATATATTTTGTAAACAATACCAAATGGTTTTGATAACTGCAGCATGATAATGTAGTTGAAGAGTATCCTTCCCTTTTTTCATTATTTTCTCCCATATTTTAGTTTGTTCCTACAAATAATTTAATTCTATAAAATATTCCTTTGAAAAGTCCATAAGGAATAGCATTAAAACTGTAAATTAACTTTGGTAGTATCATCATTTTTATAATACTGGCAACAGTCTAGTCATGAGCACAGGTATTTAAGTAGTTCTTTATGTCTTTAATAAGGACTTTGTAATTGGGTACATACAATTTCCACGTTTGCTTTGGTAGATTTATTCCAAAATATTTTATACATAATGCAGTTATTTTTGCCTCATGTTTTTATGTTTGTTATACATAAACGCTATTGATATCTCTGGGCTTATTTGGTAGCCTGCAACTGTGCTGAAGCCATTAGTTTATTCAATGAACCCCTAGGTTTATCTAGGTAAAAAATACAAACAGTAAATAGGAGTAGCTTTATCTTCTCTTTGCCTTCTTTAAACATTAAATTTCTCTCTCGTCTTACTGTTATTGATAGCATTTCTATAATATATAAAACAACAGTGAAGAGAATGGGCAGCCTTGCCTTACTCTTGTATTTACTAGGAAAACTACTAGTGTACTCTCATTGTATATGATACTTCCTTTTGACTTTAAATGCTTCTATGACATCCAACAGCCCCCTCTGCATATTACACACACACACACACACACACACACACACACACACACTTTTTTCAAGGCATAAATGAGTTTGGTACAAAAGCTTTTTCTGCATTAGGATAATCATGAGGTTCTGCATGTTTTTGCTTAATATAATTAAATGTTTATTTTCTTCCTAACATTAAACCATCACGTGCATCTTTGTTGGAAAATATTTGTTAAATGTCTACTATTTCACAGGCACTGTGCTAAGCACTAGGAATAAAAAGAAAGGCAAGAGTACCTGTTCCCAAGGAGATCACAGTCTAATGGAGTAGAAAACATGGAAATAACTATGTACAAACAAGCTATACACAGGATAAATCAAAGATAATCAAAAGAGGAAAGAAACTAGAATTAAGAGGGAAAGGGAAAGGGAAAGGCTTCCAGTAGAAGGTGGGATTTTAGCTAGGACTTGAAGGAAGCACCAGTAGGTAGAGTTGAGGAAAGAGAGCATTCCTGTCATTGGAGATAGCTAGTAAAAATGTCTGGAGTCAGGAGATGAAGTGCTATATCTGAGGAACAGCAAGGCGGTCAATGTCACTGAACTACAAAAAACAAGAAGATGAGAACGGTGGAAGAAAGAGAGGGCATGTTATGAAAGGCTTTCAGAGCCAGAGAATTCGTATTTCATTCTAGAAGTGATAGGAAGTCAGTGAAGTTTATTGGGGGGATGGGAGTGGGGGTGAGGGGTAACATGGTCAGATCTGTGCTTTAGAAAGATCTTTGATAGAGGATGAACCAC